CTTAAGTTAAGAGAATGCCCTCCAGAATCTTTCTGTTTTCTGTAGTTTCCTAAAAGGCAGCAGGGAGAGGGGAGTCTGATCTCCATAGAGAGGTCATTCCAGAGCAATGGTGCTGCCACAAAAAAGCAGCCTTGGCTTTCTCAGCTCTCCAAATGTGGGACTGCAAGCAACTGCTCCCTGAAAGATCTAAGTCAGTGTTTCTCAACCTTGGCAACTTTAAGATGTGTGGACTTCAACTCCCAGGATTCCCTAGCAATTGGCAGCCAATGTAGGACCCACAAATAGGTGTTAGGTGTTCTGAACACAGGCGCCAGTTAGTATGCATTTTCTTCAGTTTTTGAGTAGCCTTTAAGGGTAGCCTGAGGTAAAGACCCTTGCAGCAGCTGAATCAGGTGGTCATGATGTCATGAGTTACTGTAACTAGGTCTTCCTGCAAAAGGTAGGGTCACAGTTGGTGTACTGACTGAAGCTGGGCATAAGACCCTCTAGCCACAGCCACTAGAAGGGCCCAAAATTGTGAACGTGTTCCTGTGTAAATAGTGTCTTATCTAGAGATAACAGGGAATCCTAGTGCACAAAACAGTAACTCTGACTTGGGTGCACCTTCAGTCTGTTCTCTCCCATCCAGCTCTTTGGTCTCCAGGTACCAGGTAGGACATCTCTCTTACAGCCTGGAGCAGCGATGTAAGCATCCTGAATCATCAGATGACTTCACCAGTGCCTTCATATCACTGTTAAAAAGCAAGAGAAAGAGAAATGATTCCTATAGCACCCCACATATCCTATAGCACCCCACATATCAGAGGCCATTGAACTGACCTCTCATCCACCCAGTGAGGAAGGACAGGAGCAACTGCAAAACAATGCCTCCGATCCCCAACCTCTGTGGGCAATCCAGTAAGGTGCCATAACTGATGGTATCAAAACATACCCAGAGGTCCAAAAAAGATGAGAGATGCATTATCCCCATCCAAGTTCTGACATAGGTCATCCAAGAGAGACCAATGCTGACTCTGTACCATACCTGGACCTGGATCCTGACTAAAAAGGTCCAAATAATCTGCTTCTTTTAGGAACAACCTTCCCTAAAAAGCAGAGCTGGTCATTCTAAATAAGATTACTGGATGACAGCCGCCAATGCAATAAGAGAGCAGAAGTAGGCGCATTTGACCTCTCTTATTGCCATGGTATGGGCCCAAATATAAGTGTGTAACTGTGCTCAGTCAGATTCACGTCTTGTCTCCAGGCATTGTTTCTGGTGCTTCACTTCCCAGAAGGTCTCAGAAAATGAAGGTACCAATTGAGATTGACCACCAGGAAAAGGTTGTTTGGGGATTATACTTTCCAGCACTCAGTGCACTTCCTGCCACCATTTGGCAACAATCATTGGATAAAATTGCCTACCAAACAGCTAGGGACTCTCCAAAGCCATTTAGAAACCAGTTGGTCTCATTAGGCATCTACAGTGGATCAGGATGTGACTTGACCATGGCAGTGGGGTGATAGAAATCCACTCCCTCTCCTGATCACCAACCATTTGCTCAGAGACAAAAGTAATGTCCAAAGAGGGACCACCCACATGAGTCTGGCCTGAGAATACTTGAAACATGCCCACCATGGAAGAGATGAACTCCTGAGCTTTATTGGAGCTGGTCCCCAAGGTAGGTAGGTTGAACTCTCCCAATACCAAGAGGTGGAGGTTCTCTACCACTAGCCCAGAGGCCAGTTCCAGCAGCTCAGGAAAGGATTGGTTAGTACACCAACGGGATTGCAAGCTTGTCTCTAAGCCTAACCTGATATATAGGCACTCACACTGCATTCAAAAACAGGGTCCCTGACCACTAGTAAGGTGTCCTTAACAGAGGCATCTTCCCCAACCCCCCAGCCCTGATGTCAAGGTTGCTGAAGGACCCATCTCTGACAAGGCAACATTATCCCCCTCACTCAGCCAGGTTTTGGTAATGCATGTTGGGTCTGTAATTATTAACTGGGTTTTATGCAAGTTAGTTTAGATAATTGCTACTTCATCTAAACCTGCACACCCTAATCTTTTGGAACTGGTGGGCATGAAATGGGTATTCTCCCACAATGGCAACCACAGTGGGCCTATTGCACCACCTCCCATCCCCCACTCACCCCCATTTATCAGATGACAACATGGTGAGGCTGCTCTTTCTCATCTCCGCTACCTAGGATGCTCTCTACCACCTCAGCTCATCACAATTTGGGATGATGCCAGTGAATATTATATACAGTATAAGAACATTCTTATGTTCCCATTGTTTTCTGTCTGACAGTAATAACTTTTCCTTAGATGAAATTCTTCAGATGTGAGGATTGTCCTCATATAAATCTTAAAGGGTTAAAAGGCATTTGCATTATAGAATGGCTTAGAAATTTTGCTAATGTGTAAATTTCCAATCAACTATGAAACCCATTGGGATGCTAGAGTTGAAAAGTACGTGGTTTAAAGGCTGGGTTTCATTATTGAGTTGACCATGACCCTTTCTTTTCCTCTCAAGGTAAACAGGACCAGCCTTGAAGGCTAAAAATAGAGGCTCCTTCTGTATTTGTATGAGTAGGACCCTGGCAGCGCTGCCCCTTATGTAATGCAGTCCAGATGGCAATCATTGCTGCTATCTTCATGGTCTCTTAAGAACTGCAAATAGTATCCATGGACAGAACATGCTGCCTCTTCTATTTTTCAAGGCAGAAAAACAAAAATACAGTTCAGCTGAGAAGGGTTTGGAGTAAGAAAGGACTGTGTATTTTTGACTATGTAGAGAAGAATCGGGGAATACTTCCACAGCTCCTTCGCTAAATGCTTACAAATCTAATATTTCACATTCACAATGATGAACTGTGTGAGATGGAGGGAGCACAGTATTTCCCAACAGTGCTACGTCCAATATGACAGTGACTGAACAAGATCTGCCTGAAGCATTTTGCTTGCTGTAGCCCCATTCCATGAAAAACACCAAGTATACTTGCAGTTGAATTTTGTTTCAACATGGGTAGCATCCTTCACTGCAGCTGAAGGACGCAGGGAAGGTTCAGTGTTGCAAAGCAGGTCACCTGGCAAATATGGTCCTATCTATTCTTTATCCCTCAACATCTGCTGACTGAGGTGGCCAGCAAATTGGTGCTCATGAAGGAATCCAGTTCTTCTGAATCCTGTTCTTCTAAAATTTCTTGTATTGTGAGATACTATCTTATTACAATTTTTAACATGACTCTTCACAAATCACAAATAGAACCAATTCTGATGTTTAAAAAGAGTTATGTATGAGTCTATTGCCTTACAAAAGCAGGACAGAATAGACATAGAAGTCTGCACTTTTGCTGGTGTTCTTGTTTGCTAATAAAAACAATTTTATAAACAGATCAACTCCTCTGTTAGGAAGTGTTTTAATTGTAATAGTCTTTATTATGGTCACTGACCAGAATTCCTCAAGTTAATAAAATAATTTACATAATTAAACTGTTTTGATTTCAAATAAAATAAAAGTTATAGCTCGGTACTGTAGCTGAGGTGATCAGAACATGCCGAGTTTTACAGATGGTATAACAAAATTTAGCCACATCCAAAGAAATGAAATCATACTAGTCTGATGAAAGTCACTGTACTGTACATAAATATATCAAAATTGTCTAGGTATTTCACCAAATAGGGAGTTATCCATATAGAAGACCCAGTAAACAGGGCATGAACTGTGGATAGATCCTTCTGAACAAGGTCACAATCTTAGCTTGTAAGAACTTTTTTATATTTGCCTTCCGGAACTGCCCTTGAGAGGACATTGAAATGTGCTAATGTTAGTGCTTTTCTGAATTTAGGGAAAGGGATTTCACAATTAAAGCACTCTTTGAATGTGATGTTTAATATACTATTTAATATAGAAAACAGTCTATTGCATGCTTCAATATTTACGTAATTTCTCTTCCCTCCTCCCGCCCCCCGCCCCAATACAACCCTGCAGCAGCTTTGGTTAGGACATCTAACCAGGGATCTCCAAAGGTGCCATGTTTTTTATGGAAGGAGCTTTGATCCACCAGAGGCTCCACAAAAACAAAAGATCCACTGATTCTCTCTACCCAGTAGAGCAGCTCCATGGGAATAGATCTTCAGGGAACTTGAGAACAAGGAGACAAACAGCAAAAGTCATTCCCTTTTCCTTAGGGACCAAATGTACCATAGACCCATATTTCTACTATGATTCTGCTCATGGGGTCTTAATATTCACCTCCTTATGTTTCTTGATAGCATTCATCCCCAATCTTTTTAAAATAAATTTTCATAGGTATTATAATTAAGGAATTAGGTAATATCTTATGCTGTACTTCAGTGTTTCTGGATTCTTCAGTCATACCCCTATATTGATTTATGAATTTTTCATCTCTTTATTTTTTCACAAAATGTTTAATTAAAATAGATTTATTTGCTTAATAAAGACTGGAGCTTGAAATAACCTATGTGATTACTTAGATAAGCACATGTTGCAAATGTGTCTGGCTTTCTTATGCAAAGAAATTAATCTTTGTAATAAAAATGCATGGTTAAGTTCACTCCTTGAAATATGCTAATTTTGATTTGACTTACTTAATATTCTTGATATTTCTGGTTTTAATTTTGGAGAAAGAATACATTCATTTTTGTTTATAATAACTAATTTATTTTCTTGTAGTTTAGTTTTCATATTATTTTCTATGAAATTTTTACATCTATTTCTTTTTTTATAGATATCAACAGTCTTCATAATACTATTAGCACTATTAGTGTTTTTGTTTTAATCTAGATAGTTTGGTTTTCTCATCTTTTGTCTTGCTGAATATATGAAAGTTATTTTAAAACATTGCTCTGTTAAACTTAAAATAGTGCTTGGTCTTTTAGAACTTGCTTTAATTTTAAAAGGTAGTCAATTATGCATTCAGGCAACAGAATAATTAATTTTGCACCCATTCTTACACTGTTTTCTTTTCCTCCCGTATTTGTGTACTAGGTGGTTGTGAATGCCCTTCTTGGAGCAATTCCATCCATCATGAACGTGCTTCTTGTTTGTCTTATATTCTGGCTGATTTTCAGCATAATGGGAGTAAACTTGTTTGCTGGCAAATTCTACTACTGTGTTAATACCACAACTGGCGACATGTTCCGAATTGATGAAGTTGCCAATAAGACTGAGTGTGAGAATCTCATACATGCAAATGAAACTGCCAGATGGAAAAATGTGAAAGTTAACTTTGATAATGTAGGATTTGGGTATCTTTCTTTACTGCAAGTAGTAAGTGAAAATTCTTTAAAGGCTTCTTGTTTATTTAGTGCATAGCAAAAAGTTAGTTTGATCAAATAAGGCATGTATATTTTGATCAGACACAATGGTTCCTGGAATATAAGTTCCCCTTTGATTGTGTTTAAGCTTACTGGATGTTCCATGGGGAAGTCAAGTCATTTTAGTTCATTTGATGGACTTCTGCCTCCCCTCTTTAGACAGTCATGTGCTTTCCATCCCTGCTTCAAAATGTGATAAGCCAGCACAGCTAAATTTGGGATGGACTTCCTGCTCATTCAGCTGGGTTGGCCCTGTACTTTTGTCTACAAGACTAGTTGTGCCAATACAACTGATTGGTATAATTTAGCAAGTTTTAACCAATATGCCAGGTTATGTCTACCTGTTAGAGAGGTTGAATATATATATATATATAATCCAATTTTATATCTCCTTTTCAGTGTGAGTAATACCAGGATCTTAATAAGGGTTCTATGCTGTGATCATGAAAATAGCAGCAGTAACAGTAAGGCGAGATACTAGTCCATCACAGCATCTTACGATGATCTGGAAAAACAATCATATTATTTATTTGACTAATAGTAGCTAAACTTTCCCAATTCCATTATTTTTATCTGAATGTTTTTCTCAAGCAATTATCATGCCAATGCTAGGCAATTTAGAACACCAGCAGTCTAGCCATATCCACAGGAACTTGTCACTTTTATCATTCTGACGAAAGCAACCTTGCACTGCAAACTCTGCCTCTTTGGGGGGTCTGCATGACATCACACTGCATGCAGAAAAAGGGCAGAATTTGCACTACAAAGTTGCAACACTGCTGGTATCATTCTGATCTCCCTTGGTGCCCCCCCCCCCACACCCCATCCTCAGAGCCTGCTGAGACAGTTGCAGCTTCACTTAGATACAGACATTTTATCTGTAATAGAGAGGGAAGTAAAGTCCAGATGTAGGTCACAATTTACTGGAATTCTTCAATAATTTGCAGTAGATCAGCAAGGATTTCCAGTTTACAGTGTTTGAAAGTGTAGTGATGAAAGGCTTGCTTTTCTTTTAACTTGTTCATGCTGCAAGATAAGACCTTAAAAGAATCTACTTTAAATTTCCTTGTCTAATAAAATGAGGTCCTTTCCTAGTAATGTCTTTATAATTTTTTTCAGTATCAAGAGAAAACCTTTTTGTTCATCCAGACTTTTCAAATAATTTCTGAAGTCCAAACGTCTTCGTTTAAAACCTTTCTTGCTAATGAGTGTGGTTTCTGTTGCTATATTACACTGTGCTTTTAATCCTTATTTGTTCAGTTGTTCAGAGAACTTTATCTTAGGGAACTGCATACAAATATTTTCAGTTAACAAACAGATAATGTGGTAAGGTGTCCTATTTCCCCATTTTCAGATATACATACTTTGTATCTAAGCTTTGTATAATTAGTATACCCAAACATTGGGTTTTAAATGATATTTGATCCTGACTTATCTAAAAGTGGTAAGTCTCCAGCAATGGAAGACAATGGAATCATTCATTTTTATTTTTATTTGGGACCAAATTCAGGTGAAGTGAAATTCAGTGTAATAAACCTAGTTGTAGGGCAGGGAACTCTAGCCATATCCTTGGCCTGTGATGATTTCCCTGAAAACTGTGGAGAGGAGGGCAGACATGAGGACATGTTCCTTTCCTCTTCCAGGGGTATAAAAGAAAAAGAAAAATTATTTTATTTTCTCTGAATTTCTGCATGGGTCAGGAATATGGTTGGAGACTGGAGAATGGGCCTTAAATATGTTCCTTTAGGACTTTGTATGGTTAACATTCTTAGAGCTTAGGCTGGAAGATGCTAATCGTACACAACCTATGACCCCTTGAATCCTATGCATACTTAACTTCATTGAACAATATGAAATTTCTATGAGAGAACACACCTTATCCAGTTCATTAAAAGCAAAATTTTAAACTCATCTCATTTGTTGTGTTAGTATATATAAAAATATTTCTGTTGGAATATTCTGTCGTTGATAGAAATTAAGATGGATAAAATTGATTGCCATCATTTATATGTTTAAATATTTTTGGATACAGGCCACATTTAAAGGATGGATGGATATTATGTATGCAGCAGTTGATTCAAGAAAAGTAAGTCCTTTGGATTTTTCGGGTGATGTAAAATCACTAGAATGTTGTTTATCTGTTAGCAACACATGAACAGAAAATTTGGTAACATTAAATAATGCCTTTATGTATATAAATAATGCCCTGATGTTATAATATGAGGAATTCCGTGATAATTACTATAAAGATATAGCCCTTGTGAATATATTTTAAATTAATGCTAACTTGTATGTTTTCAGTAAATATGTTTTTTCTGATTTTGCTCTCATGTTACTTATTTTGTAGGTACTTGAACAGCCTAAGTATGAAGATAACCTTTATATGTATATTTACTTTGTCATCTTTATCATCTTTGGATCATTTTTTACCCTGAATCTATTTATTGGTGTCATCATAGATAACTTCAATCAACAAAAAAAGAAGATAAGTATTTATATATATCATTTTTAAAGCCAGAGTTATGACCTATGTGAATTGATAACTCAGACTTATAAGTAAGTGAAGAGACCTACAAATATACAAAACCCTGAAGAGTATGAAAGGAAAAGAGTTTTTCTTTGCAAAACCCCAAAGAATATAAATAGCAGCATTTGAATTCAACTTTTGAATATTCAGTTGTATCCCGTCCCTTTCTCTCACACTGGAGGCTTTAATGTTTATCATAGCGTCTATCAATATTATTCATACCTGAACATTATCCACACATCTCCCTCCTACCCCATCCCATTTTAAATCATAGGATTAATTTACACTAAATATTAATTTATTAAATTAAAAATAATCCAACCATTCTCTTTGAATCTGCTTTTTATCAATGTTAAAATGAGAAGGAACTGTGTGACTGGTCTCAGACATAATTTGTTTACAGAAATGGTAAACCGATATCAGAACATCTGTAATTCTCTTCCTTGGCTTGCATTAGTCAGAGCGGAAACATGTCACTTGCAAACATGCCAGGGCATCCGTCACTTCCAAAACCATTCCTGCAACTTCTTCATATTAAATTAAGATACCCTTTAATAGTTTGAAAACCTTTCACATTTGTGCAGAATGCAGAATTCTTACAAGATGTTATTCAAGAATGCAAAATGTTCTCCAAGAATCAGTGTGAGCTTGTCAATTCTATTGCAAAATTTGGAGCAATGGTTGGTCTATCATGCAATGATGCAACTGGTCTGAAATGGTTGTCAATCATGAGCTTAAGAATCCATAATCAAACTAATTATCTTGATTGCTGTCATTGTATATAAGAATCATGTGCTAATGAGATCTTTTGGAATGTATGACAGAAAATTCACATACTGGCAAAGTGAGTTCTTCAACTTAATCAAACAAATTGTAACATTTCATCATTCTGTTCTGGCAGTAGAAATAATAGCTTTTATTTTGGACTCAAATTTGCAGCTGCTCCTAGCTTAACTTTGTTGTTCATAACTTAAGTATTTAGGAAGAGGAATTCCTCAGCTGCTCAAATGTTTGAATAAGACTTTTGTTCACTTCAGAAGTCTTGAGGAAACATGACAATTAGGGTCCGCATTAGCGCAGATGTGTAGTATTAGATATTTGGGAAACTGTGTAGTTTTTTCAAATGCTAACTTCGGAATACATTTTGTTAGAATTTAGAGTGGCATAAGATCCATGCTGAAAATCATGGCTGAGATAGACTGATGTGGTTTGTTTCTCCTAAGGCCAGTAGAAAAGCGGCCTTGGAGGGAAAAATCATTTGATACAGCAGTGAAACCCAAGAATCTTTGGAAGGGGAAGAGTTGCTGTCTGAAGTGCTGATAATTTACATAATATATAGCAGAGCTGACTTTCCCTCCATTCTGAGTAGGCACTTTCCTTTCTCTATCATGTGATAAAGAAAGAGAGGCCGTGCTCTGAGCCCAGAGGAATCTGTGAAAGCTAGAGAGTTTTTTCTGGAGTTTGTATGCAAGATCTAAGAATGGATTTTTGAGGCACATCTTCAGTTCAGTATGTTTCATGCAGTAACAGAGACCAAAATTAAACACCCCAAGAAGTACAGGATAATCAAAAGCAAAAAAGGAGAAGGCGCCCATCTTTCCCCCAATCACTCTTATCTCAATGCTATTATTTTAGCATAGCTTTAAACCTGGGCATAGAACCAGCTGATCTTTCAGACTGCTCAGTCCTAAACAATCACTAAAGATCTTTCCTCCTGAGCTTCCTCACTGATCTATACTTGTGCATCTAGAACTCTCTCTTTCCCTGTTTGGGACTATTTTGGGGATTCTCAGAATTTTGATGACTTTGTTTGACCTGAGAGCTTTCCAAAAATTGTTTGTAACTTTTGAATGCTTCCCTAAGTTTCTAGAAACTCTAGCAAGCTTTTGGGGACCTTCCATAATGCCAATCTTGTTCTCTAGACCTTGGTTTCCTCTTGGATCCCAGGTCCAGGCATCTCTGGCCCCCAGCATGCCTTGCTTTGGAATTCTCATGTTCATCCTTCTTGTCTTTCTAGATATTCATTGCCAATACTTTGCTTTTTCTAGAATTGATCTGAACTTTGCCACTTGTTCTCTAAATAATCTGTCTCCAGGTCACCTTGACTGTCAGCTTCTGTTTCTTGCCTGCACAGCTTTCATGTGAGCAGCTTGTCTGAGTCTGCAGTCCTTATCTAACCTATTCTTACTTAGACTTAGGTCCATCTGTACTGTACAGTTAATTGGACATTGATTGCCATCTTGAGTTATATATAAAAAAGGATAAAATGTTGTTGGAGAGCAAACGTACTTAATACTCCTGCCTCCTATTTCCCCACAACAACAACCCTGTGAGGTGGGTTGGACAGAGAGAGAGTGACCAGCCCAAAGTCACCCAGCCAGCTTTCATACCTAAGGGAGGCTTAGAATTCCCTGGTTTCTGGTCTCCTGGTTTCTAGGCCACCACCTTAACTTCTATACCAAACTGGCTCTCAGTTACAATCATGCTGAATTATATTCATTGTTTCAGTAAAAAATTTTTTACAGAGTTCGGTTGCCACATAGATACCCAACTTTCCTCCTTTCTCATCTGGTCTTAGTACTGCCCTATGCTTATATGTAATTTAACCCCATTAATGTTCAATGCTTTGGCTTGGTTTTTTTCTGTGTTTCAAGAGAGGCAGAACATTTAGTATAGCAGAGGCCTAGCAAGTTGGCATAACATTACCGATTACATATGCCTAAATGATGTACTATTATAAGGCATTTCACTCCTCCTCCCATCTGTCTGGTCAGTTGTAATAAGAGCTCCTATCAGAGTAGTCCTTAGAGAGATTTCCCAGGACTCTGCTACAACAACAGCCCCTGTTTGCTTGTAGCGAGAGTCAGAGCTTTGGGGCCCAGCTGTAGATGCTAAATTGACCAGTGGTTGGAGATGCTGGGAGTTATAGTTCAACAATGTAAGGTTGTGTGTTCACCCATCCCTTCTCAACACCAGACGTTAAGATGTTCTTCTGCACAGATTTCTGATGATGACCGTTCATTCATAATTGCGTAGGCCTGTTCAAGTCTGCGTTAATGTGCTTTTGTCCCATCCATGAGGCAGGAGGAAAGTATCCTGATAGAAAAGTGCTGACCTCACACCCTACATTTACCATGCCATGGCTCAGTATACACTATAATGTGGGAAGTTTCAGGGCAACAACTGGCAGAATCCCCACCATCCTTCCCTTTTCCACCCAGCATCTTCTTAACAACAACAGCAACACTAATATGAATTACAGGAACCCATATGTGCAATTTCACACTGGACTGATAGAAGTTTTTGGATGCTTTAATTCTATGTAACAATGGGAATGTCAACTTCCTGGAAGACCTGCAATTTGGTCTTACATGAGGTCAGTGTTCTTGGCCATTTACCTCTGCTCCCCCAAAAGAAAAAAATAGCTGTGCAAGAGCTGTAACTGCAGCACAAATGGCTATGGAGGCATAGAGCTCAGTGGCCAGATGGGAGAAGATGGCCCACACCAGACCTACTGAGCAATTATCACTGACTTCTGAAGGTTCTTTCCCCATGAGCTATAGAAAGTCCTCGTGGGTGGCCTTATGTTGTGGTACTACATTCATGTTGACTTAAAGCTGGCCTTGGGCTGCTTCTGGAAACAAGATAAAAGTTGTCTTTAAATATTACAAGAAAATACTGCCATAAGTTGTAGATTTCTCTCCCTTTCCCCTTATTTCCACCTATGAACACTGTGATTCTCCTTTTCTCTAAATATTTCTTACACATTAGCCTCTAAATAAAATATTTAATAATACCTACTGAAATGAGCTAGTTATTTAAGTAAAATTATTATTCAACAAGCTGTGAAAATAAACTGAAGTTTTAACACAACACCTTTTTTTTAATATGGTTAGAACAGTGTAGCATTTTCATTATAAAAATAAATTAGGCCCAATGTTTATTTTTAGTTTGTAATATTCTATAAATGCTTTTACATTTAAGGGCTATATATGAGAATATGATTGTAACCAATTTTCATCTCATGCCATTACTTTGGAGGTCAAGACATCTTTATGACAGAAGAACAGAAAAAGTACTACAATGCAATGAAAAAATTGGGGTCTAAAAAGCCTCAAAAACCTATACCTAGGCCAGGGGTAAGTAATATTATCCAATCTATTCACATCCAAAAAATAATTTTGATTTAAGCTAATGGGTGGAGAAGAGAAGGGAGAGTGGGCTATTTAAAGTTTGTTTTCTGAATTCTCATACTGTGTATTTATTAGCTACTTGGTTTAATCAAATTCTAATTAAACAAACATGCCCACCATCATTTCCATTGACTACTGTTTCTTCTTCTGTACTTCAGAACAAGTATCAAGGCATGGTGTTTGATTTTGTGACCAGACAAGTATTTGACATCAGTATTATGATTCTTATCTGCCTTAATATGATCACCATGATGGTAGAAACAGATGATCAGAGTAAACAAACAGAAGATATTCTCTACCGCATTAATTTGATATTTATTGTCCTTTTCACTGGAGAATGTGTCCTCAAATTAATTTCCTTGCGCTATTATTATTTCACAATTGGATGGAACATTTTTGACTTTGTGGTTGTCATCCTTTCCATTGTAGGTAAGAACTATTACAAACAAATTTAAATCATCTCACGTTTAGCTTTATTTCTTATTCAATTTCCAATCAATACATTTCCTATATAATTTATTCTTGTGGAACATTGATGCCTGTTATTTGAGTGTATTTCATATAATTTGTAGAAAAAGGTTAATCATGATGCCTTAGGCAATGCAATCTTATTTCATTCCAGGATGCAAATTCAAGACAGGCTATTAGATCTCGAATTATCAGATCTCAATCACCCTTTTCCCACAACATGTTTAACCCAGTCAGCTGCCAACCCAGCCAAATCTTCTTACCAGAGGTTTTAGCAGCACACAATCATACTAACTGGGTCAGAAGTCACAATCTGGGAATACGAGGTTCCCACCCACTTTATTCAAGAAGTGTCTATTTGTCAGGCCTCACCCACACCATTAATCAAATTCAAAAGCTAACAGGCAGAGCTTCGGGAACTCGGCTCTGATAAGATCATTGGTATAGCTAATAGAAGGAAACATAATAGAACAGAAAACCAGCAACTGCTGACTGTACCCCTTAAGACAGATAGATAGATAGATAGATAGATAGATAGATAGATAGATAGATAGATAGATAGATAGATAGATAGATATAGATAGAT